CCAAGAGGATTCTTCTATGGTTTATATTTGCTGGTTGTTATGTTGTAGGAGGTGTCAGAGAAAGTGAAGCTAGAATAATCACAAAAAGCTGTAGTGAGCAGTGCACTGGTACATTCTTGGCTTGGTGCGTCAGAAAAGCTGGATGGATTGTATTATTAAAAATCCATTAAACCAACGATAAAGGCCTGTTTTTTTGCTGAACTAGCTCCTTTACACTAATGGGAGATTTACACCCACTCCCCTGAACACTTTAACATATTTTGCATCAAGGTTGTTTCTGTTTTCTCTGGCAGCATTCAGCGTTGGGCTGGAGTTTGAAGGGTTGCATGTAGGAGTGCCATGGATGGGCCTGTCTATTTTATGTCCAAGGTGCCCTTTAACTTGGTATCTGTACACCGAAAAAAGTAATCTGGGGGTATGTCTACACAGAAGTCTTGTTCTGTGTCTCTTTTTAGCTATCCCACCTTTGGAAAACCATACCATTCAGGTCTCTGAGGTACCCAGATCCCAACATGTTAAAAGTTCTTGTGGATCAGGGCTAGATTTGGAATGTGGAGTAATGGAGTAGGAACGCTGGTGTGTGTCTTCCGGGCCTTGATTGTTTTGTGGGTAGGCTGCTGCAGGCTACCTTTTACGTGATGGTGAGTTCAGCTCCAGGATGAGTTGCTAAACTAACTCCTTTACACTAATGAGAGATTTACACCCACTCCTGAACACTTTAACATATTTCGCAACAGTAGTCTAATCTGAAATTATTTCTATTTACTGCTCTTAATGAAAAGAAAACCAAAGGATACGGTGTTCAGGTTTCTGAAGATTTAATCTTTTTCTCTGTTTTTAGATGACAGAGAGGTCTTTCTTTCCTTCTTTCTTTCTTGCCCAGACAATAAATAACATTTATATGGAACAGAGAAAAACATAAGCTTGCAATGTCTGGTGTTTTAGCATGCTATTTGCTCCTTGGTGAGAGAGAATTAACACCTTTTATATAGACCTAATCCTTCTTGTAAAAAATTCAGATCTTCTATAACTATCAGCTTCCTTGGGTTGGTTCAGCAAAAAGCAAAGATGTACAGTAGTTCAGCTTTTCAGTACTGCTCAGTGGAATTCTTGGAGACACCACAAGTCAGACTTACTGGCATGTTCTGACTACTTTGTGCTGCTTTGGTGGTGCAAAGCATCCATAAAACTAATTTCCCCAACCACTAAAACCTGATTTACAATTGCTTTGCATTACTGGAACAATGGAAAGCAGCTAGAGTGTACCTGTGTTCCAGTGTTGGCATCCACTCATTTCAATGGGACAATTCACAAGTCATAAAGGTATACATTTGCATTAGTCTGTATAGGCTCAGGATCTTGACTGGTAGAAGTATATTGGTGTATGAGCACAGATACAAGAGAGTCATGGGTCTAGAATTGGACAGGAGATTTGACAACTGTTTTATCTACCAAGCTGCAGATTTTTAATTATGGACAACATAACCTTTTTATCTTCCAGGAAGACATGTATTTGTGCTGTGCATCACATGGTTTGCTGTTCATAATCAATGTCATTAAATATTTGTGGGCTTTCCATCTTTTTTTTTCTTATTTTTAGTGCGTCTGTTTTTCTGGGGGGTTGAGAACCACAGTGCATTCCTGGGGGTTGTTCTGATGTTGGACTTCAGCTCTCAGCTGCAGCCCCCACTGTGTTACTACACTCCTAAGCTATACACAGCTCTGCTGAGGCACTTTGCTTCTGACCAGGAACAAACTGTTGTTGCAGTGTAATCATAGACACTTCAGTGCCTGGGAAAAGGAAAAGTGAGTTTGAAGAAACCCCACCAGGAAGGTGAAGGATGTGCCAGTTTCTGATGGGGGAGGTGGGGGAAGTGCCGCGGTGCAGCTGTACCCCGTTTAATTCCTGCTCCACCCAAACCTTAAAACCAATTGCTGGAAGGGGAGCTGCATTTCTCTTCAGGCAATGCTGAGAGAGTCAATTGACTTAATGGCTCGCTGTCACTCCCTGATTCCGGCTAATGTCTCTCCATTCCTCAGGTGTTAATGACCCTCCCATCTTTTTTAATGGCCTTGGTGTTCTACTATTCAAACTACCCTGTCTTCTGTAACCTGCTGCTTGTCAGCCATTCCTTGTAATGTCTGTCTTCAGTTTCACAGCCCTGCAGACTGTTTTTAGCTCTGGCTAAAAAAACTTACTCAGGTGTGGTAATATTACCTCAGGTGCAGAAATGACTGACAGTGAAGGAGTGGAGGCACTGTCAAGATGCTTAAGCCTCAATTTTGTATTGTAAGTCTGAAAAAGAGATGTACAGTCAACTATAATGACTACAGGACTAATAACATAATAGCTTCTGACTTTTTGGCTTAGTAATTTAGTGCCCATTCCAGCAATTACAATTTGTTTTTTGCTTTGATCTTAAACTGAATACTATGGTGCTACCTTCCCCCCCATGCCCCCCCAGCACATTAGCAAAGCATCTATTTTCTCTTTAACTAGAGAAAAATGTTTCATGTGATGATGCCACACCATGTGCACCCCTGTTTTCAAAATCCTAGATCTGTTTCCATTCTGGGTGGTACAGACTGCCCTCGTTTTTCCTTCTGGGTAGGTAACGGGTATAACAGACACCACATATGGCAGAGGGGGCTGTGACATTTAATGTATGAAAAACAGAAGCCAAAGCAAGGGTATATCCTAAGTCACCCACATGTGTGGCAGCCCAGGAAAGATCACACCATTGGTAGCACTGAGGTTCAGGACAGACAGCATTTCCTCCACCCATGAGTCGCGACCCAAAAGTCGGTCACAAGAATGTATATAAAAAGGTCATGAACAAACTTTAAAAATGGATCAGCAAACTTTAAAAATGGATTCTCATTTAAAGGAGAAAAACGTGGAAAACTGACTGTGGCTTTTCCCTTGAAGGCTGCAAGGGGCTGCCTGGGGGCCCCCATGCCCCACACACTTGAGGGGCTGGGGGCTGGGGGCAATGGGTTGGGAGCGAAGGGCACTGATTCAGGACTGGCCATTGATGTTTACAAATGAGTCCTGGTCCAAAAAAAGGTTGAGAACCACTGCTCTAATGCTCTGATCAGGGGTGGAATTGTGGGGGGGCGGGGGTTGCAGTCGCATGCTCCGTTGATTCTTGCTCCACTCAAAGTTTTAAAACCAACTGCCTGGGAGGGGCTGCAGCATTTCTACTCAGGCAGTGCTGAGGGAGTTTCTGGACTTCAAGGCTCATTATAATCTACCTGATTCCTTCTAAACTCTTCACTCCACAGGTGTTAACAACCCACCTTTCTAATGGTCTTGATGTTCAAGCAATCCAGATATCCTTTCTTTTGCAATGCTGCTGTCTGCTTGCTTGCTGCTGTTAAAACAGCTCCTATTTCCTGGCCTTGCCTTCAGTTTTTAAATCTGGCTGGAACCATGAATTCGCATGGCACTGGCCATGCGTAGGGGGCGCATGTGCAACCCCTGACAGCAGCGTTCCTGGGCAAGGGGGGCAGGCGAGAGCGCTGTTGCCCACCCTGAAAGCACCTGCTGGGGAGCAGGGGCACCAGGAGAAGCAATCCCTGTGGTCCCCCTTTGGCCGATCACACTCACCAAGAAGTGCCAGCGGGATGCTGGTTGGCGGGATTGGCTGTGGGGACACTCCCCCCCCCGCAATCGCTGACTGGCTGCTGGGGGGGGGGCAAGTGCCCCCCACCCTGACTCGGGAGACACCTGTCACCCTTGTCACATGGAAATAACTTCAGAGCAAAGTGCCACTAGCATGACCAAGGCACATCAGGTGGCTAGACTTTGCTGTCTGAAGCTTACAGAGAGCTGTCTGCTGAAGTCTCACAAAAGGAAGGGCTAACAAAACATCTCAGGATCCTCTTTTTGTTTCCGGACCTAGTTGGTTGTGCTCATTATACCCAGTGTGTGACAGCAAAAAGGAATGCAGGTTTCCACCTGTCTACTTGTTGCTGCTCCCAGCTTAAGCTGAATGAAGCTTCCCCAGTCCCCTAGTTTGAGGAAAGCTTCTAGCTTCTTTATTAACTGAAGAAACTAAGGTTTCCTTGTGTGTGAGGATGTACCATGCGCACCCCCATTTCACAAGCCTGGATCCTCCCCCATGCACCTGTGACAGTGCCTGTGCTGCAAGCTGGACATGCAGGAGAGGCTGGTGAGACGCTGGGACGCTCTAGGCACTCCTGCATGGAGCAGCTTTGCTCTAGCTGTGCTTTGGGCATTGTTACTGGGGGGAAGGCTAACCACAAACTGGGCTGCATTAGTAGAAGCGTTGCCAGCAGATCGAGGGAAGTGATTCTTCTCTCTGCTTGGCACTGGTGAGGCCACATCTGGAGTACTGTGCCCAGTTTTGGAGCCCCCACTACAGAAATGATGTGGACAGGATGGAGAGAGTCCAACAGAGGGCATTGAAAATGGTTTGGGGGCTGGGCAGGTGGCTCATGAGGAGAGGCTGAGGGCGCTGGGCTTATTCAGTCGGGAGAAGAGAAGACTGAGGGGGGGGACTCAATAGCAGCCTTCAACTACCTGAAGGGGGTTCAAAAGAGGCTGGAGTTGGACTGTTCTCAGTGGTGGCAGATGACAGGACAAGGAGCGATGGTCTCATGTTGCAGCAAGGGAAGCTGAGGCTGGAGATGAGGAAACTCTCTCAGGAGGAGGGCAGTAAAGCAGTGCGACAGGAGGTGGCGGGACCTCCATTTGTGGAGGTTTGTGAGACCGGGTAGACAAAGCCCCGGCTGGCATGATGCAACTGGGGTTGGAGCTGCCCGGAGGGGCCGGGCCGCCCCCTTGCAGCCCCCACGTGCCCCGCGGGCAGGGGAGGAAGAGGGCTACTCGGAGCTGAGGGCTGCATGCCCGGGCCGGGGCCGGGGCGGGCCGCCCCAGCACCGCTCCGTGCCCTGGGCTGGGGGTGGGGGGGCGTCCCGGCGCTGCTGCTCCCCGCGGCGCTTGCGCTTTCCGCGGGGGTTGGCACGGAGGGAGCAGCCCCCGGGCCCGCCCGGGTCCCGCTTCGTTGGGGGCCTCGGAAGGGCTCCTCGTCCGGCCCTTGCTGCATCCTCCCGGCCGGGGCACCTCCGAGGACGCAGCCTCCTCCCCTCTCCGGGCCGCCTGGTCCGCTGCCCTCCTGGCCGGAGACTTCTTGCCCGCGTCCAGCCTCAGCTTCCCCTGCTGCAGCGCGAGCCCGTTGCTCCTTGCCCTGGCATCTGCCGCCACTGAGAAAACCAGCGGTGCTCAGCCCTGGACAGCTTGGAGGAGGCGGCCCTTGGAAAACGCCAGCTCGGAGTTTCCACTCGTTTTTTTGGACCACAGAGCAAGACTCGAGCTGCTTTTTCCAGAGGCAGAGAGCCCAGCCAGACCGCAGCTCTCGCATGCCTCTTCGCAGCCTCCTGCTTGGGTTCATCGCGAGTCGTGTTTGCCAACCCGATGGGGCTGACCCCCCGCAACCCCCTTGAAAGGCTCTCGAGGCATCCCGGGTGAACCACGGCTTTAAACTAAAGAGATTTGGACTCGGTGAGAGCTCAGAGGCTGCCCCTTACTCTAAAAACGAGGGGACTGCAGTTATTGCAGGCACTTCAGTGTGGGCTTGAGAGACGATCTGAATGATCGCTGCTCACAGTATGAGCAGCCTCAAGCATCATTTAAAAAAGAATAGTGAGTCATAGATAACCGTGAGACTCTTGAAACAATGATTTGGGGAGGGGGGTGCTCTTTCAGCGTCCTCTGGTGTCCGAGCCTTTCAGGTTCCTTCAAATCCTGTTTCCAAGCTTTCCTCCGGCACCCTGAGGGCTAGAAACCTGCTGGTTTTCAAATGAAAGCTGGAAAGTTACCCTATGTAACTGCTCCGATTCAGCAGCCTGTAAAAAAAAAAAAAAAATCCAATATCACAAGCCTCACAGTAAAATTGTAAGAATTGGCAGCACGTTATTCCTCCAGCTGCTTTCCATAGAACACAACATGTTGGACCAACATTACCCACTTTAAATCATGGGGTACTCTTACCTTGGTGCTAAGGTACAGTTACTTCTGGAGATGAAAGTATTATGGTAGCAGTGGAGTAGTAAACTGAGTATCTACTGGAGAGTACTGGAAGTGAAGAATAACTTGCCAGTTGAAAATTCTTCCTGTTATTTATGCAGGCAGGATGCAAGTGTAAGTTTGTTTGGTTTTTTTTCAGAACCAGGGCCAATATCCCTATCTTTGCAAAAAGTGTCATGACTGCAAATTGTCATCAAAACCTTGTTTTTATGCTTGTGGAATACGGCACCTCCAATGTTCTCCATTCAGTTGCCACCAGTTTGAGCTTTAATTGTGAATTTGGAGAGAGAGGGGTGTGTGTGTATCACTTAACCTCCCATCCTGGAGACAACTGATTGTAAGAATCTTAGCCTTTTTATTTATATTAAAAAAAAAAAAAAAAAAAAAAGTTTCTAGCTCTCATGATTCAGAAAGAAGCTTGAAAGCAGGATATGAGTTCACCAAGAAGGATCCAAGATTTGCTTGAAAATTCATGTGGTTCTTAGGAGACTTGGACTCCTTTATTTTTTTGTAGTGTTTACAATTTGCTCTTTTGGCCACTACCTACCATCTTCAGTGTTAATGTAGTGGAAAGAGTGCAACTCTTTGAAATGCTAGATTTTTCAATTTGTAGCATTCTGGAAATATAAAGGAAAGTTCAGTCAATTTTTTACTTTTTATTGGATTAACTTGGATTAATTCCTGTTTAACTTGTGAGAACTGCTGAGATACAATAATTTTTTCTTTTACTTTTCATTCTCTAAGGCTAGAGAAGGGCCTATCTACATTATCAAAATATTTGTGCTATAGCTCAGATCCTGCAAACTCTTCCACATGTGCTTGCTTGGAAGCATTTAAGTGCTCTTATTGGAGTCCATAACACTGTAGGTTTGTGTTTTTTAAAGGTAAGCACATGTGGAAGAGTTTAAAGGAGAAGGGCTTTATTATGGTATAAGCCAGTCTTAAGTTACTGTCACTAAGGCCAAACTCCTAAGCATTCTTTTTTTTTTTTTTTTTAGTCGAGTGACTTCATTGGATATGTGGCTTAATTATACCCATTTTTCAGTGTGGTGTGAGCTCTTTCCAGACCAGAAGAGTTGTATTTTTGCTGCTGGTCACCATTAAGCAACATAGCTCATCCATAACTGACTGTAATTTGTAAACTGACTGTTACTTTGAGATTGACTGCAGTGGTTAATGAATGGTTTACATACAATGCTAGGAGTAAATTGTGGCCATTTCCTAAGACACAAGCATACCTCATGATTATCAATTTTTCCTGTTCTGTAAGCAAGATGAAAAGAGACAACTGCAGCAATAGAAGGTTGAGCTCATATGAGTTTCCAAGTGGACATAGTTGTAATATAGATAGAGAGAGAGCATATTTCTTGTTGAAGAGGGCCTGTTCTACCTCTAAATTATGGATTGGAACATGCGTTTTGAAATACTTATTGCCCTTAATTCACTGGATTTTCTATAATATCAATAGGATGTCTGCACCAAGATCAAAACTTGAATGTAATAATTAAGCTTTTAGTTATAATCAGTGGTTGTGAAGACAGTCTTCTCACCTTTTCTGCTAGTTAACTATGGTACCTATTGTTTCTCTGCTTATATCTGTTCCTTTCCTCATAACTCTTCCTTCCTTTTTGTTTTTCTTTCCCTGCAGTTTGTTACCCTTCCCCAGTGCCACAAACATTATTTTCCTAGCTTCAGTCACACACTTCCCAGCTTACCTTGGTCAGTAATTAATAGATAGTACTAACACATAAGTGTGACATTTATTAGGCTTGGTTTCACACCTTGGTCAGAATAATAAAGGATCTGAGGAAGTTGCATTTTTCTCAGTCTGTTATTTCAGGGTCTCTAGGGACATATGCAGGCATCATTGTATCTGTTATAATTGGTTAATGCTTGCAAGCTGTGAGGGTGAAAATACATTTTTGTTTTTTTTAAATGAAAATTAGGTTGTGCAGAAGCTGAATATGCCAAGTGGGTCACCTAAATATTATACCATTGACACATCTGCTCCATATTGATATAAATATTTACTTAGATGACCACAAATTATTGATTAGTTTGATAGAAAAATGTACATGACTACAAGCAGAAGCCAAAATTATAATACTGTATTGGTTTTCCACTTTAACAGTGCCAGTGTATAGTATTGCTCATTGGCAGCCCTCCCTACTCTTTGCATCCTTATACATCCCACAAAGTTCTACCTAAACATCTAATTTTGTATCCGATTCATCTGTTAATGAAGTCTTAGACTTTTTTTTCTACATCAGTAGTGTCTGTCCCTTTGATATTGTTTTGTCAAAAATTAACAAGTTGTTTAAGTCCATGACCACATGCAGGGTTTCAGCCCAAGCCTGTCTCAAGTTAGAGGCTTAGAAAAAGCATAATCCAGAGCTACTTTTAATCTTGGGTTATACCATGTTGTTCTTTATCAGCATAATAATAACTCAGTTCTGTTAAACTTGCTGAAGTGCGCACAAAGGCACCCTTTATTGTGCGCTGTAAAGGCAAAATTTGCTGCATTGTCTTTGAAGCCTGCACAGCAGTCCCCTTAGAGCATGCTCGTTTTTTCCTTTCCTTTGGTGGAGAGATGAAAACATCTCTGTGCACTTCACAGGAAATGAATGTCTGATACAAGTTTGCAGACCACATTTCCAAGAACTACTCTCAAGGTATTTTGGTAATGCACATTCTTTTTGTATTTCCCCCTCCCTGCTCCCCCAGCATCTCTTGTGTATTTTCTCACTTGCAAACACATGTAGTGTATTAGGTTAGGGATTGACTTTCTACGCTTAAACTTACAACTGCTTTCTATCGGCTCTTTGTGTTGGTTTTCCTAGAATTTTTGCTAGCAACATTTGGTTAATTGGGCCATTTTCAGTCTTGTGCTGAAGCTTAAGTAAAACTTTTCTGCAGACTTTTAAGAGAAGGCCTGGTATCAGATGTTAACTCATTGAGCCTTCTGTTTGTGTGATTCTTCAGCTGAAAAGTAGCTTGTTATACTTTCTAAAATAGTTAACTCTCCTGGCAAACTTGTCCCAAGCTACATTTGAAGAAAATGGATTATATTGTTCTAAACTGTCACAGTTCTAGGCTCTTGCTTCTGTGTTCCGAACTACATAGAGGGACTTTCACATTTGCACAGTCTCACTGAAGTCTGTATAAAGACGCATAGATCCCCATTTTTGAGCTAAAGGATGAGTATGCCTGCCTGTTTAACAGTGTTCATGTTTCTTTTGCCTTCTGAGGTCCATGTAATAAGAGGCAGTGTGTGACAAGGAACCAAACTGAGGTGAATCAGAAAAAAAAACCCAGCACAAAATCTAATGGAAAGTGCTTTGTAAGCACATTTTCACAATCCTTTCCGGTGCAAACTTTATAACAGAATGTGATAAGCTACCAGGTTTACGTGGCATGTGTATAACTTTAGGACTAAGGTAGTACTGCCCATCAAAAAGCAA